GCGGCCCCGTCGCCGCCGGCCGCGCGCACGCCCCACTCGGGCGCAAGGCCCCGCGTCCCCGCCCGTCCCCACGGCGCACGCGCGGTGCCTGCAGGCCAGGCAGGAGTGGGTGCCAGGCTCTGCTGTGAGTGACTGACACTAGTCCGGCTTGCGGCTGTTGCTTGCTGCAGGTAGTCACCATTTTCTCTTGGAGACTGGCTTTTTAAAATCAACTTTTTGGCCACATTTGGTCACTTGGAGCCCCTGAAAGAGTCGGCCTGCAGAGCATTGTACAAACTGATCCAAAACAATCACTGGACGTGGGTCTCTAAGATTTAAGATTTTAATGGGTGACCAAGGGATTTGCCCCTTGTCTCTTTCCTGGAAAAACTTGATTTTTCCATCGAGGCCAATGGTGCCTGAAGAAAAGCAACATGAAAACTCCTTTAATGGAAATACCATCCCCATCCTCCCCTTCCCACCAAAAAACAACTGAAGAGCAGAGACTACAGGTGTTGGGCAAAAATGCTACCACTACTTTATTTTCATGAGCAGTGTTGGGAATCATCTAATATTCAAGTGAAAAGACTCACCAGGATCACAAAGGTCACCCTTCATTTCCAGATGAAAAAACTAAATCTCAAATAGGTTTTCGGTGACTTGCCCATGTTGTCATGAGGCTAATTTAGTGGATGCAGAAGGCAGAGTAGTTACATGTAACTGATCAGTGACCTGCATACAGTATTTTGTCAACGGATTTTTTGAATGATGCCTAGATGGAATCTTGAAATCTTCCAAACAAAAATGACACTAAGGAGGGTACCCAATTTCAGCCCCTTGCAAAATGTTGTCATGACACTAAAATTAGGTCATCCTCATCACTACTATCATTATCCTTATCCAGTGCTTTAAGATGAAATTCCTTGTTATCACAGCTGCCCTCCTCTGCTAACCCCTGTCAGCACTTTCCAGTTTCCCAGCCAGAATGGTCAAGGCCCTGAAGGAGTCGAGCACATTATCTCTGGGATTCCCCACCCCCACCCATCAGAAGTCCCAGACATCTCTCCATCCAGAGCCCCTGAATCAGGCACTGACACCCTCATGTTGAAGGGCCAGAAAATGTTTTGGGGCCTGCTGCTAATGTCTACTCATCAGGAGTTACTTGGGAGTTCCAGACATGCTGTCCCCCACTCCCCATCCTCTACCCTAGGAGTTGCACCGCACCCCCCAACCCCTTCTTAGCTGTAACCTCCCGTCCTTTAATCCAGAATCCATGCACCCAGATGACTAGGGAGCAGGGTCATGTCTGATTCCTCCCTACACCCTGTTACACAGTAGGCAGTCTGTTAATTCCTCCCAGATGTACAAACCAATTCAGCCATACTGACTGAGGCTTACTTTGCCAAGAACTATGCTAGGCACCTTCTCCCAGATGTACAAACCAATTCAGCCATACTGACTGAGGCTTACTTTGCCAAGAACTATGCCAAGCACCTTTACGTACAAGGCCCTACTTAAGTCCTGACTTGGCGAGATCAAATGACTCTCATCATTCTCCAACTTGTAAACACGGGCACCAACACCAGAGAAGGTAACGATCCTCCCAAACACACACTAGCAGGATGGAGTGGAGTTCGGATGGGAAGCCGAGGCTTCAGACTTTGTAGCAAGGACCTCAAATATGCATGTTAATTAATTAGAATCAAAGAATGCTAGAGCTAGAGGGGCCTTCACCTTTTTGCCAGCTCAACCAGTGAGAATACACATGAAGAAACCAAGGCGCAGAGAGGGATGTAACTCCTGGCAGTTCTTGGCAGAGCCCAGACTAGAACCCGGTCTGGGCTTTTAACTCTAGGATCCATGAGGCTCCATGTGTGTGTGTGTGTGTGTGTGTGTGTGTGTGTGAGAGAGAGAGAGAGAGAGAGAGAGAGAGAGAGAGAGAGAGAGAGAGAGAGAGAGAGA